TGATGCTGCAGCTGGCATGGGAGATCCAGGGTTGCCAAGCTTGCCCTCTGTCTCAGTATTTTCAAGCATCTCACTCACTGCACTTGAAGTGGTTTGATACTGTTGTAATGGGAACACTTAAAACCTCAAATTCAACAGTAGATGATAATTTCTCATTGATTTCTGGTACATGTTTTAGTTCCTTGACCTAAATTTGTATCAAATTTCAAGAGATGTCAATGCAAGTTGCTTCTGAAGAGCACGCAGAGAGTATGCACTTAGCATTTTAGAATGTTTCAGTATGGATTGGTAGATAAGCATTAACTTTTCCTTAGTAGTTGTAAAATAGGTCACAGATAATAACTATAAACCATCACCATTTCTATTTAGACGATGTACTTTCCTATTAAGTTGCTGGCTGAGTAGTTTCATGACATGTCTAGTCTTTAATTGAAATATTTATTGTTAATCTGTGAGCATCTCTTGCTATAAATTGTTTCATATTTCACATTCTTTCTGTAATTTCCCTATACTGACATAAATCTGATTACAGGAAGGTCCTGCAGAAATCCTCTGGGGAAGACTGAAACAGTCAAAAGCAACACACTTCTCTACCTAGAGAAAAATTGGAAAAGGCAGGGCTGTCCAGAAAGCAAGAGCAGTTTAAACTTTTACTCAGTCAGTGCATGCCTTTTGACAGTGTTTGCCTCAAGGCATATGTTGAGGCTCCATTGAAAATTAAATTTGACCCTGACCAGTGGAACTCCTAAGAAAGAAGAGACAGGTTTGACTTTTCTGTCTTGAGAGTGATTTGGAGTTGAGTTGCATTTGCACTTCTTTGTACAAATTACATGAAATAGACCCCACGGTTGTGGGGAGAATTCGGTTGGAGACTGAATGCTTCATTTTATGGCTTAAACATCTTCATTAAGGACATTTGTCCATTATAGCAAAACCCTGAATGAGGCCCTGAACTACTTGTTGATGAAGATAAGAATACATTCACACAGGGATCAAGCTTAGCTTAGCAACTTCCCTTCCCTTCCCTTCCCTTCCCTTCCCTTCCCTTCCCTTCCCTTCCCTTCCCTTCCTTCTCTTTGTCTTTCTTTCCTTTTACTCTTTTACTATTAAATAAAATATACCAAGGTTTTTGGCAATAACATCTAACCTAGTTTAGTTTTAATCCTGTTCTACAGGAGGTGGGGTCTAGGAATGGAACAAAACAAAACACAAGAAAAACAACTTTTAAAGGTTTTTTTTAAATGAAATTTTTATAACTTTTCTCTCTGTAGGAGTGTTTATAAGTGAATAGAAATTAAAAAAAAAAAAAAAAAAAAAAACCCCAAAAAAAAAAAAAAAAAAAAAAAAAAAAAAAAAAACAAAAAACCCCCAAAAACGAACCAATTAAACAAAAAAACCCAACAATATTTCCAGGATGATGTACCTACTTCTACTACTTCTAAAAAAAGAAAATACAAGATATATTCACCAAAAAAAAAAAAAAAAAGGGGGGGGCGGAAATTTGGTTTTAATGCACTTGGAGTAACCATTGAATATATTATATAAGAATATATCTCCACATTGTTAAAAAGGTCTGATGGCATGGGAAGAAGATGTAGAGGGAGTTATTTTCATTCATCTGCAGTATACCTGTAGGAACTGAAGTGGTCTTTTAAAGGCTTAAAATCTCTAGACAAAAACTTAAAAGGAAAAAAAGATAAAATAAACATCCCATTACAAGCTTTAATCAGAGAAGAAATAAAGCAAAAAGTCTACAGGGACATGGAAGGTATTTATGAGATATCTTTCAGGAGAAAAATTATTTGTACAGATAAGAGTAATTAATTTACTAAACAGCCCAGGAGATTGGGTAAGGGTATAACAAAATGTTTTGTAACTCTGATCCCTCTGAGCAACTGCACAAGTGTGGTGGAGTTTGCAGGTTGTGCTCCAAAGGTGGTGAAGGCTGGGGAGATAAATCAGTGTGATAAATCACTTTTAAGGCAGTGCAGAGGTATTTTAGAGGTCTGGTCCAGCTAAGTCATAAACATTTTAAGGGGAAGACTGATGACTTTGTTGCTTGAAAAGAGTAGTGATTGAAAAGAAAGACCTATGAAGAATAAGGACTTAATGAGTTTACTTAAAGGAAGGGATAATAAACTTTATTTTAAATAAAGGGAAAGCAGCTAAACCAAACAAGAGATTACAGAATTTAAAGTGTTGTAGCACAAAACCAAAGAAGTAAAACTCAGGGAAAAGGACATTTGTAATTAGCAGGGGGAAAATTAAACTACAAAATCATAGGCTCAATTTTCTAAAAAAGATATCAGTAGAAATAAAATTCTTAGATAATTTATAATTTCTGTATGTTTAGAAAAGATAGAAGAAAGAATTCTTTCTTTTCTTTGGCAGTGTTGGAATTTCCTCTTCATAGATGTCCTTCTCCATGTAGATGTGACCATGTTATGCAACAATTTCTTAATACATACAATTTCATGCAGAGGTTTGAAATCCTGCATTTTGTTATTTTGGTAGAAACTTTGCATGTACAAAAATATGTTTTTTTACAAAAACATGCAACTTCGACTACGAACTTCATCCCAAGTAAGTCTCTAATTTCTCTTACCACGAGTATATTGCACAAGCAGTACTCCAGGTAGACTAAGTGCTTAAGTAGTGTAAATTGTGAGGCATTAATATAAAATAAATGATGGCTAGTATGGGTTGATAAAACTGAAGGAAATTATATTTCTACAAAGTTACTACGAAGTTTTTCACCCTCTGCTTATTTTTAAACTTATTTTTAAACTTGCAAAGATAAAGTATGCACCAATTAGCACCTTACCTAAGAAAGACTAGAACTACAAAAAATAGCAATAGACCATGCAGAGAATAGCAATAATAAAAAGGGTAATGAGTGTATGCATAATTAATTATATTTAGCAATTTGTGGTATGAATTTTACATATATTGGATTACATAAAATAGTCTTTGATTTTAGATGGAAACTTCCTAAAGCAGCCACAGGAGGCATTTGATGATATTCTGTTTCTGTTCCTGAGTTTGCCACTGGCTACTGCATGATTTAAAATGTAAGATGTGGATTTATGAACTTCCACTATAAAGAAAAAACCATATTTTATACATTTACAGAAAATATATTATTCTCTGAAGTACTTTTTGAGTTAGATACCCACATACTGTGTTTATCTCTTTGAACTCAACCACTGCAATGAGTTTAAAACTAGATTATAAATCATTAACTTTCACATCAAGCAGCTGATGCTTAGGATTTCTGAACATTGGGAAGATTCTTACTTGCCTAAGGATGTCATCATTTAAGACAACTCTTAGAAGGCAGAGAGACATACCATGGGGAAGAGATTTATAAAAACTTAACTCACGGGTCCAGGCATCACTGCAGAATTCAACTTTTCACCATTTACTGAAAAAGTTACAGATATTTCCAGCTGTTGACCTAAGTGATAGTAATTTTCAGTGCATGATTAATTGAACTTTAACTTACTTTTTATAATGTCCTTTTTAGAGTATATGCAGTTCTTTGGCCTGAAAAAGGCCAAGGATAGGGGAGGGAAAAGAGCATCAGAACTTCTAATTATGCTTTTGATAATTAGGCTGATGACTTAATTTTCCCTAGGAGAACGTTCGCTGCATTTAAGTGTGAATAGGTGTTATTCAATTAAAATGTACTGCACTTTGTAGGGGAAGAACACTTAATAAATGCAAAATCTAATAATATTTGTGTTTCTGTGTGTTATGGATCAGCAAGTCCTCAGGAAGAATGCTATCTCTAAAAGAACTGAAAAAGCTAATGAGAAATGAAATAGCTGTAATTATTACATTGTAATTAATTCTGCCCAACTCCTTTTCATACTGAGGTTACAAATTTGAGTAAAAATTTTGTAAACTTTTTTTCTGCGTAGTAAATAGAAAAACGTATCTTATAAATTTGTAGGACTCCCTGAAAACCCAAAGGAATGTGAATGTGACAGAAAACCCTGGCAATTTAATGCAAACTGGGTTACATAAGCTGTGGAGTTCTACAGCTCAGCCTTTTCAGAGGTCACTGTGATCGTCCCATAAATTAAGGTTTGATTGATCTGAGCAATGTGGGGCTGTGTAACCTACTAGTAAGTGAATATTATGATTGTGCCCTCTCTACTTGATAAACTAAAAAGCCTAGTTCAGTAATTTAAGCAACGTTATTACTCTCAGCATTGCAGTTGCTGGTTTAACCAAGCAGTTACTTACCACTTTTGTTAGACTCTATACATGCTGCTACTGTGGAGAAACACAGGTTTGCTTTCCGGGCTTTTTTTCTTCCTTTGGTGTCATTTGAGTGCAAAAAGGTTATTGAGATCAAAACCCTGTTTGTTCTTTGTGCATGAAGCTGTTAGAATCTAAGCTAGTAACTTCTAATAATGTCTAAGAGCACATACTGGGAGGTAGCTGAAGCCAGTCATGGGAGAGTAAAGTTTTCAATAAAAATGCAGCACAGAATCCTCAATAGCACAACAGGAATAAGGGCTAGCAGAGAGAGCTACATTCTACAGTAGAGGAAATACTAATGATTAAGGTGACTGTTCTGCTAATAAATAATAAATCAACAAGAGCGTTCACTGATAATAATACTATTAAGGAGCAGAAAAGAGACTCTTTCTGTAAAGTAAGGATTTTACACAACGTGAAGAATTTAGTGCAGCTCTGAAGATTTTGCTGTAGTTGATCAAAGAGAATTTAATGATCAAAGGTGCTTTTTAGAGAGGTGAAGGAAGAGTGAGAAAATAACCTTTATTGAGTGAGCATAAACTCAATATGTAATTCATGACCTCTAACAGCATAAAATCCTATATCCTGGACAAAAAAATATCAGTCTGTATCTACCTTAGCACATACTAATGGGGTAAAAAGCTCTTTTTTCTTTTCTAAGAAGAAAAGGAATGGGACAGCCTTAGGAAGGATGTATAAGAAATTATCTTTAAAGTGAATAACAGAATGTGCAGGCAATAAGCAAAGAGAAATTTTGAGCTTTATTTTTTTTTTGTTGTTTTCTTCTTCCACATTTGAGGATCCTTCACAACTGGAAGGAGGAAGAGTCTGCATAAAATGATCTGGTAGGAGCTCAGCTTCCTGTTATCATGGGTTGATAAGAACAGTGCTGTTGGAATTGTAGAGAAATCACCAAATAAATAAGAATTATCTGACTTCTCACTCATGAAGGTTCAAAGCTAGGCTGAGGATTCTTGTTGCAGCACTCTGTAGGGAAGTGCACTCTTCAACATCTGTCATAGAAGAAAGCTCTGAAAATGACTGAAATAATATCAAACAATATGTTTTAGGATTTCATTTACACTTATTCTAAAAGTAATCACTACTGAACAAGTAAAATAAATCTCAGATACTCTACTTGTAAAATGCACCTACAAAGAAGTCATGGAGCAGTAAGGATTTATTTTAAAATAAATGAGTTTTTTTCATTGTGGTTACATAAGGTAGTGCTGGTAGCCGGGTACAAGTGACATTTATTTGTGTCATCCAAATAGAATTCTGAACAAATAATAGACTGAATTTAAATCTGCTGTACATATTCAAATTGATGCTCCTAATAATGCATTGCTGAATTCCCCTTTGTTCCTTTTAGTGTGGGGTTATTCACACTCTGCTATTGTCAGAGGGGTCCAACCCTTCTCTTTTCTGTTCCTGAACACACTCTGCTTCTGGAAAGAACTCCTCACACCCAGGCTCTTGGCATGTGGCAGGTGTTTGTGCAAAAAGAGTCACACTTACTCCTCCTGCAGGCCTTCCTCTGCTCCAACAATAGGACTAAACAAAAAAAACAAACCAGAAGATTATGACCTTCCTCCTGTGGAAGCCAGTTATTTAGCATCCATCACATGGACAATACTATTCCGTCATTGTTTTCTCAGGTCTTTATAATTTATTTTTATTAATGAGGTTTTAATGACATAGCTCCAAGTTGGAGCTAGTATGAATAAGAAAAGTTATTTTCTCAGCATACATACAGAAAGAACCTCTAGCTATTCACATCCTTTTATAGCTTTAACTAACTTACCCTTCCAGACCTAGTCTGTGGAACACCATCTTAGTATGAGAAATATTTCTTCATTATTTTTCCACAGATAAGTTTTGAGGAGAGTTGATCCTGTTAAAAAAAAAAAAATAAAGTAAGAACTTAGGAATTTTGAGTGGCTTCCGCTAAAAAAGTATATAAAATATAATATTTTAGTTTCAAGGATATTGTAATAATAAGTTGAATATAATGTTTAGGACTATAGGCTGTCTCAAGGGAAGAATTTTAGGGATTTCAGTGTTTCAAAAATTTAGTATCACAAATTACCTAACAAAGAAACAATGTACATTTTGATCCGTGGAAGGTCATTAGGTATCAAAAATCTAATTGCAAAGGGTGTTTTGGATCATGAAAAGAAAAGCATTCTTATACTTATTAGCAGCGTGTGGAAACACAGAGCACCCATCTGCTGGACAAGTGATCTGAGGGAATAGAACAGGTAAAAGGCTTGAGTCATTAGCAATGCCTGTCTGAGGAGTCTAACACCTCAGATCTCACCTGCTTTCATGTAGATGAAAGTGCACATATTAAAAAAAACCTGAAGTGAGCATTCAATATTTTCTTTTTGAAAGGGGTTCTCTTTTTTTTTTGTTTGTTTTGTTTTGTTGTCTGTGTTATAAAAGCCTTTAGTAGTCCATAAAAAAGCAATAGTTTGCTAATGAAATAGACAGCAGTTTTTCTATGTTAAAAATAATCTTACTCCAAAGCAGTTATTATGAAATGTCTTAAAATCATCTCTAAATTAGAAAAGAATGGGAAAATAAAAATGTAGTACAATAACTTGCAGTTAAGAAAAAATTCCCTAATGATATAAACAGAGTCAATTTCCATGTTTACTCCTCAGTCTATTTTCTCTTTTCATATGCTGGGTAAAATAAGTGAATAAATAATCCTGGAAGAAGGAATCATAACTCAAACCTCTCTGGCTCCATGTTAGGGCTCTAATCACCCTCCTACAAAGTCATTCCCATTGTTCTTCTCCCTCTCTTTCCAGCCCAATCATTTTCTCATTCTTCCATTTTGGCCCAACTTCAGTAAGAAGGTGAAGAATGCTTCTATACTTCTGTGGAGACCTTCTTTCCTTCTCTGTAAAATTTCATGAGCCTGGTAAGTAGATGGCTCAATGATGAGAGGAAGAAGCACTTTTAAATATTGAAATATATTGTTGCCTAAACATTAAGGTCCTGAACAAATCCTCCTGCACTGTGGGATTCATTGCAAAAGAAAGCAGCTGGCGTTCCATTTTTTGAGGAAACTTTTCCAGTTTGTGTGTCCAGAGTGTTCTGGATGTAGGCTACTGTACCAGGAAAGAGAATCTCTTTTCCAGATCTCAGTCTGGAGATCCTAGGCCTTTTATGTGTTCTTCAGGCCATTTTAGTTCAACAGTGAGATTTTAAAACATTGAATAGCTACTAACTAGGTGTCATTCAAGTGACATGACTAGCTTCTCTAAGCTTTGAGTCCTTCCATGTCCACCTGGACCTGGGTTATCCTAACCAGAAACAGTCTACAACTTATATGTGATGCTGAGTGCGAGTCCAGCTCTGGATCCTAGTTGCTTTTTTTTCGTTGTTGTTCTTGTTTTCTTGGGTTTTTTGGTTGTTTTTTTTTTTAAAGCAAAAGCAAGCAACAGGCTCAGTAGCAAGTCATCAATTCACTTTCAAAAGAGGCTGCTATATTTTAGTGAAGAACAAGGAGAAAACTCTTTTCACTGCCAAAGTCTCACCTGAGAACATCTGGTCCCAAATGAATCTGGCACCTGCCTGTGTGAAAAGATTTTCCCTGTTGCATTCTTTGTCTCTCAGTGGAGTAGTGCTGAAAAGTCTTCAAACACATCCTAGATGAGAGGAGGCAAATGTCAGATTCTGCTTGGAGGCATTGAGCTTGTCCCTTCTTAGCCCAGGCCAATACTTCATTATACAAATATCTCCAATTTGTTCCAATTACAAGTAAAATGGGTTAGCTAAAGCTCAGGCTCCAAAATAAGTAGCAAAGACACTTGACAGCTGACATAAATCACAGTGATTTTGAGGCAACTTAAAGATTTTTTTTCCTGCAAACACCATCATAGACCTTAAAGACCTGAACTGTAACCTGCTTGAGCCCACTAAGTGAATGTGTAATTTTTGGCAACATTTCTGAGGAAGGAAAATGTGAGCAGTTGGAAGCCTGACATGGAACAACCATGCACAACAGGAAAGAGTGCATTGAAAAGTGCATTTGTTTGATGTCCTTTTGTCCTACACACATGATCAGGATGTTGGTCTAAGATCTCTGTTGATTGTCCATTTCTGTTTAATATTTTGTTTTGTCATTTCCAGAACACTGTGTGTAAATTTCTGGTTTTCATCACATGCTGGAATAAGCTAGTAAGTTTGCAAGGCTTAGCAAGGAACCCTGTGGAGCAAGATTTTTGTTCCACTTTTGCTCTTTACATTGCAGTTTTTAGGAGGATCTAAGGGACCTAACTTCACTACTGGCATAGTTCTGGCCAGGACAAGGTTAATTCTCCTGTCCCTCTCACCACAGAGGGGGCAAGGGGAAAGTGGGCTGAGCAAAGAGAGCACAGTCTGGAGTGTTTCAGTGGGAGCATTAAACTGGGGAATAGTATTCCTCAACTATTGAATTGGAATCTACTGAAAAGATTAAGTGGAACGTTGTTGAAGAAATGTGGTAAGTGCACATGAAAGTGCAGTAGTTTGAAGGCTGAAGGGAAAAAAAAATGCCTGCAAATTGATAAGTCATAACGACCTCTAAAGGAAGCTGAGGGAGAAAAGGTCAGCTAAGAATTCTAATAAAAAAGAAACTTGTGATTTGTGCTCTCTCCTGTTCCCTTGGTTTTGTTCTCCCCCATTCAGTTTCATCTTAAAGGTGTCAGTGATGTAAGTTTGTAGTAGATCTGAGCTTGCTTATATTTATACTGAAATATATCGCATTGTATCAACTCCTTGCATACTCATTGTAAACATCACCTATCAAGTTGAATGTCCAAACCCTCTGAAGATTTACAGTCTGAGATTCATTATCTTTGTTCCAAAGGAATAAAATATGAAGAATTTACAAGAATATGATTGTAAATTGAAAGTGATGGCTTTAATTAAACTTTAGGATGAGAAAGAAGGCTGAAGGTATTAAATAAATTTGAACGTGTTACTGAAATGCCTAGTTGAATATTTTACTGAAATGCCTATTCAAATCATCAGTTTGTTCTCAGAGATATTTTCATACTGTACTTGGGAATAAAAGACTTGGAACAGCAATAATAATATAGAAGCTGTATAGGTAAAAACAATATAAAAAGAACCAAAAGCCATTGGCCAATATGGTAACTCAGAAGAGAAAGCCTGACTCCTTAAAATGAAAAATATGCAACTGTGACAATGCTGGGAAGAACACATTCCCATTCAGCTCAAGGCTCAATATTAACATGCAAAAAAAAGGAGGATGCCTTTTCAAAGCATAAGGATTTATGAAGTAGGTGGGAATGGCTTCAGATCAGTTGGATAGAGCAGGGTGTTCATAATGTCAAGGTCACAGGTTCTATGGCATGTTGCTGTCGAGGCAGGACGGGAACGAGAAGACTCTGACCAGAAGGCTGTGAGAGTAAAACTCTGGTTTTTTCAAAATACACTGCTCTTTTATACAGAGCTTTGTGAGGACCAACTCCATTGGTTCTGAAGTGAAAACAACCCACAGCATTGGTGCAGAGTGCTTGACACACAGTGATAGAACTTAACTATAAACAATATGAACAACAAGAGAGATAAAGAATTATTTACATTCTTCTCCAGCTCTTTCCCAGGCTTTTGCCTGGATAGAAACTCTCAGTTTCTTTCTTTGACAGAATCTGCGACTCACATTGGCCATTCATTGAAGGGTTGGACTTGATGATCCTTGTGGGTCCCTTCCAAATCAGAATATTCTGTGATTCTGTGACTCACAAAGGGTCCAATCCTGCAAATGCTTCAGCTGTATAAAATTACAGGGGAAGTGAAATTGCTCAAGGCAGTATTAGAGGAGTGAGACTACAAAGTGGGTAGGCAAAGGACAAATGAAAATCCAGGGACAGTGGAAGTTTACCTCCCCCACTGCCTCAAAATGACTACAATTTTCTTTTAATTGTGAAACAGGAAGACAGAAATCGACCACTGGGTTAAGCATGAGCAGAGGGTGGTTATTGAACAGTTAATTAATTACAGCTCTGAGCTGAGCACCACTTCTGTGTTGATACTACTAATTTTAATAGCGCAGGTTAGCTTGATGGTTTATTTGTAAAGTTCTTTTTATAAAATTGTGACTTTTCACTCCTAGGTGAGTGATTTCAGATGGGATAAAATCTAATATTTTGGTCAGACACAAGTGTTCTTACTGGTGTGTTTTCCCCCCTTTTTTCTTCCTTTAAGGGACAGTAAGATTTTAAGTAATTAATTGGAAATTCAGGAATTGATTTTCAAAAATGTAGATGCCCAAAGCATTTAAATTTTTATCTGAATATGTTGGTTCACCTGCCTCTGAAAATCCTTTCTAGAAGAGTCGGCATCATAGTCACAGGAGGAATTTCTTGGGTTATCACAAATTTCTTAAGTTAACCTTTGTAGAGTCACACCATCAATCAAGAATGTTTAATTCTAATTCCCATCATCTTCTAAAATCTCATTGTGTATGGATACTTTGTGGACAAAAGGGGGTACAAGTACTCAAAATGTCATGTTTTTCTAACCCCAGGCATTTAACTGAGATTATACCTATACAATGTAGGTGGAAAACACCTGAGTTAGGCAATGTTAGCTCTGGCATAATGTTTTTTAGCACACCTTCACAGAGATTGTGATTTTGCTGGAATGCTATGCTGTCTCTGTGTGCATATGCTATAAGTCTAATGTGCTGATGCTATAGATGGAGGCAGAAGAGAAAATGTCTCTGTGCCAGCCTCATTGTTCAATCTAGCAAAATCCTTCCAGCAGTGTTACCAGATTATGAGGAACCTACCAAAA